CCATAACATGCAGTACAGATTGGATTTTATCGATCCAGACATAATATTCCCATTAGTCTCAGTGATTCAACATCTTGTACACTATGTCATTTTCATTTCATATCACAGGTATAATTTATTTTTCCATTAGGGTCAACTACACTCTAAGTATTTGTTTTATGAACTTGTACTCAATTTAGTTCAGTTATCTGTCCAATGAGAAGGCATTTGACAGTGTAGATAGGAGAACGTTATGGAAACTTCTTTGATACTATGGAGTTCCTGAAAAGATTATCAACATTATCCGGAATTCATACGATGGACTACATTGCAAAGTAGTGGATGGAGGACAGCTGACAGATGCATTACAAGTAAGGACTGGAGTAAGACAAGGCTGTCTACTCTCTCCCTTCCTCTTTCTTCTGGTGGTCGACTGGATTATGAAGACCTCGACATGTGAGGGAAGACACGGCATACAATGGACAGTTCAGAATCAATTAGACGATTTGGACTTTGCAGATGACCTAGCCCTCCTATCGCATACATACGAACAAATGCAGATAAAGACAGCCAGCATAGCAGCAGTCTCTGCATCAGTGGACCTCAACATACACAAGGGGAAAACCAAGGTCCTCAAATACAACACGGAGAACAGCAATTCAATCACTCTTGATGGCGAAACTCTGGAAGATGTGGAATCCTTCACATACCTGGGAAGCATCGTCGATAAACAAGAAGGTTCAGATGCAGACGTAAATGTGAGGATTGGCAAAGCAAGGGCAGCATTCCTTCAATTAAAGAACATATGGAACTCAAAGCGAATTTCAACCAATATCAAAGTCACAACCTTCAATACGAACGTCAAGACAGTTAGTTCTACTGAAACGTGGTGAACTACAACAATCACTATCAAGAAGGTACAAGTATTTATCAATAGCTGGCTACGCAAGATATTCAACATCCATTGGCCGGATACCATCAGCAACAGCCTTTTGTGAGAGAGAACAAACCAACTTCCAACTGAAGAGGAAATTAGGAAAAGACGATGGAAATGGATAGGACATACATTGAGGAAATCATCAAACTGCATTACGAGACAAGCGCTAACTTGGAATCCTGAAGGGAAGTGGAAAAGAGGAAGTCAAAAAAATACATTGCATCGGGAAATAGAAGGGGATACGAAAAGGATGAATCGCAACTGTAAAGAGCTGGAAAGGATTGCCTAGGACAGGGTTGGATGGAGAGTGCTGGTGAGCGGTTTATGCCCCTTCACGAGGAGTAACAGGCGTAAGTAAGTGAGTAAGTATCCGTCCAATGAAGTGAGGAAGCCCTACGGCTCTTTGGGCAGAGAAGTGGGGGTACTTAGCCTGTCATATACTCTAATGATATACTCGTGACTTTCAGGTTGCCTGATCTGCTAAGAGTGATAGGACAATGAATGACGCTATTACTATTTATTACGTTCGAAGTGAGTTATATACTACATGCATGCAATTCGCCCCGTTATTGTTCCTATTTCAAACATTTTACAGTTTTTAAAGTGATCCGGTTTGATTTACCATTCACCGGTTTACTGTCTGACATGCATCCGGTTTCGTGTTGGACTACATGTACGCTGGTTTAGGGGTATATATCCTAGGTTTTAGCAGTTATTATTTTCTTATGAACTTCTATACTATCACAAAAGTATACCAAATTTTAATAAATAGTTTTACGGAACTTAGGCGTCAACCTGATTCTTTTTTTCCCCAGATATCAGTTATAAAATTCTTGATTTAATGATTTTAGCTATTGAAATGATGATTACTCCCTGTGATAATTTCTACCTTTAGATGATTATCCTAAAGAAGCGTAGACTAGATTACTCTCTGAAATGTTGAAACTATTGAAGTTATGATAAGTACTATGTTACAAATGATATCCTACTGACCAATTGTTCAATATAGGTCTGCCTTTCAAGCGTTCCGTTCTATTTAAGGCCAGGGATTCGAACCCAGTATCGTTCTCTTCGAACTCCATCATATTACCCACCAATATACTGAGCCCTAACAGACAATAGCTTGTGTAATGAGGTAAAGTGTAAATTCATTTTTGTATTGTTTGCTTGAATCTTTTCATTGATATTTAGGACTGAAATTGACCAGATTTTTATTGGTATATGTGCATCCTAAGCGGATTGAGCTTATATTATATCAAGTCACAAGCAATATCAGCTGAGATGGATGGTGGGTAGGCGCGGAATAGAAAACATCCGTTTCATATTATTTTGAGACTCGTCAGCTGAGTTCCACTGCTAGCACCTATCATCTACGAATATAATACTCATGACTTTGGGTAATATCGAGACCATCCACACCAAGATCAATATGTGTCAATAAGAGACTGATCCGTTCCAGTCTTAAACAATAATGGGAAGATTCAAATAATCAACATAAAAATGAATATGTCTGACTTATATAAAATTATCAACAACACATGACATCGATTCATTGATGTAATAAGTTGGTTCAGTTTACTATCAAACAACTGACCATTTATATTGTCAAACCATTTGTATACTGGGTTGATTGTTTCAAATCATTCTTGGATGATAGTGATCTTGGTGAAGTCCACTTTTAAATTTATCAGTTACAATTAATGATGACTGACGTCTAAATTTATAATAATCAATCGTAATCTGTGTCGTTTCGCCATTAAACAATCACTAAATAAGTTTTTATGTCTGTAAATGTAAGTTATTGGAAAGTCTTTAATATGACTCCTGATGAAGTCGCATTTACTCATTATTGAGGAATTCTTGTACTTTTCAGTTTTCGATTCTTGTTTAGCATCATATTGATCAAATATATCTCATCTGTCATCGCAGGGGGCAAGGTCATGGATGCGCACTGACGAAGAGTCCCACAATAGGACGAAACAGTCGCCCAGTGCTTTCACGTTTTCCATGGTGGTGTCGCTTCAATTGACTCATGATCTTAACCATTGAAATTACTACAATTTCCACATAACCCTTTCAAATATTTTATTCTTTAAATACACAAACTACTTAAATCCCGTCACAGTAGTTATCTTCTTATTATATAATTTTACGCCTGTTATTCTGTTTCGTTACTATTTTATTATTATTATTATTATTATTATTATTATTGTTATTATTATTATTATTATTATTATTATTATTATTATTATTATTATTATTATTGACCTTACACATGAAAAGAGGTTTAGTCAAACATGTCACATCCAACAGCAATAAAAAGGAGGGTGGTGAGGGGATAAAATCGATGATTGTTTTTCCCCATGTCCTATGTCTAATCTAAAATTCCCTAACTAAATTATATCATGAGTCAATTGAAGCTAGGCCACCATGGAAAACCTGGAAGCATTGGATGGCCGTTTCGTTTTACCATGGGATTCCTCAGCAGTGAGCATTCACGATCCCGCCTCGCGGTATTCAAACCCAGGACCTATTGGTGAGAAGACAATTGTAGTGAAGTAAAATAACTGTCTCTTTATATGTTTGAATGTAATAATACAGATTGTAACTTCACAACTCAATGTCTCAAAGACAACATGCTAGAATCAAGACCTGAAGGTCCTTAGTGTTAGGAGGGCTTCCGAGAACTATAGTGGAGACTCCAGAGTCCTTAAAGGAGCCGAAGGGTTTCCATCCAATCAGAACGTGATGGAGCTTTCTAGAATATCAACATGGCATACTACTATTGCACACTAGCATGATATACCTTTTTACAGATTGACTGAATTTTTGTGTGGATATAACAAACGTTAATATCTATAAATATCCATGATTTTCTGCATATTTTTATTCTTACCCAACAAACACTACTCAAGTCTTCTTCTGTCTTCAGATTTGCGACTGTGAGGGTTCTATACATTCAATTACCGTAGTTGTATATCAAATAGCGAAATTCACATTTAGTTCTGTCCTCGAATCTAAAAACTTCATAGTATACAACAATTGCATAATCTTTAAGATTCTATACATTCCTGTGCTAAGTTTGATCAAACTATGAAAATTCGATTGATTTACTCTTTATGAGTTTTAATTCAGCATTACTTCCGTTTTGATTCAATGTAATGATTACTCAATGTAGTATTCAGCTTTGTTTTAGGGCAAAATCAATCTTTATTTATACCAGTCTTTATGTTCTTACTTTCGTGTCGTAAGAATCACAGAGGTCCTTTCGTTCTGAGTATAAATAAGTGATCAACGTTTTACCGACATAACCATCATCGACGTTCAGATATAAAACTTACTTACTTACGCCTGTTACTCCTCGTGAAGGAGCATAGGCCACTCAGCAGCATTCTTCATCCAACCCTGTCCTGGGCAATCCTTTCAAGCTCTTTCCAGTTCTTATTCATCTTTTTCATATCTGCTTCTATTTCCCGACGTAATGTGTTCTTTGGCCTTCCTCTTTTCCGCTTCCCTTCAGGATTCCAAGTTAGCGCTTGTCTCGTAATGCAGTTTGATGATTTCCTCAATGTATGTCCTATCCATTTCCATCGTCTTTTCCTAATTTCCTCTTCAGCTGGAAGCTGGTTGGTTCTCTCCCACAAAAGGCTGTTGCTGATGGTATCCGGCCAATGGATGTTGAGTATCATGCGTAGACAGCTATTAATAAATACCTGTACCTTCTTGATGGTGGTTGTTGTAGTTCTCCAAGTTTCACCTCCGTACAGTAGAACTGCCTTGACGTTCGTATTGAAAATTCTGACTTTGATATTGGTTGGCAGTTGTTTTGAGTTCCATATGTTCTTCAGTTGAAGGAATGCCGCTCTAGCTTTGCCAATCCTCGCCTTGACGTCTGCATCTGAACCTCCTTGTTTATCAACGATGCTTCCCAGTTATGTGAAGGATTCCACATCTTCCAGAGTTTCGCCATCAAGAGTGATTGGATTGCTTCAGATATAAAAAGTAGCATTCAAATAGAGTCGAAGACAATTAACATTTAAACAACAAATAGCTATCAACTGACAAGTTCATCATATATACTTACACTTTTTATTATATGAATTTCCATTCATCATTATTGTTGTATTGTCAATTTTTTCACTTCTCATTTCTTGACATACATTATATGTAATACAATTTTCACCTGTTAATATATTTCGTAGGGATTTTGATGATGATGATGGTGATGATGATGATAATAATAATGTACGATGTATTGAATCTGTTTCATTTATATTTAAATTTGGTTGTGATAAATGTTTTTCTTCAATAGATATTGTATATGAACGACCACGTGAACCATCACCAGTTAATGGTGAACTAAGATCTTATAGAAATAAAATATAATGATCATAGAAGAAAGTTAAATTGAAGATGGATAATGATGTGATTATATTAATTGAGATCATGAATCAATCATGAAGTTAGACTACCATTGTAAACCTGGAAGCATTGGATGGCTGTTTCATCCTATTGTGTGGCTCCTCTAGCATCCACAATCCCGCTCGCGGGATTCGAACCCAAGGCCTTTGGTTTCGCGTGTGAACGCTTAACCTAATCGACCACTAAGCCATCATCGTAGGTGTGCATTGCTGAGGAGTCCCACAATAGGACGAAACGGCCGTCCAGTGCTTCCAGGTTTTCAATGGTGGTCTAACATCAATTGGTTCATGATCTCAATCAAAAACTTGACAATCTCCACAATACCTAAACTAATGATTATGTTAAGTTCATTTAGTATTGTCTGACTTGTATCTTCCCATTGAGTTTTAAGACTCATATTGATCATTCTGTTATTGGCATATGTGCATACTGTATGTATGCTTCGATATCGCTTTAATTCACAAGCTTTTTGTAAGCAATGATGGATAGTAGCTAGCAGTGGAATCCAGTTTGATGAGAGTTTCGCCCTATTTGAGACACGTCAGCTGGATGTACCTTTATTCCACAGTTGATGTTCACTCTGAGACTCGAATCCAGTATCATTCGCTTCAAATGCCATCGCGTTATCCACTCAGCTACTGAGTCCCGATAGCCACTTGCTTGTACAATGGGGTGAACTTAAATTCACTTGGTGTTGTTTGGCTTGTATCTTCCCATTGAGTTTTAAGACTGCAATAGATCAGTCTGTTACTTGGCATATGTGCATACTGTGCGTATGCCTCAATATTGCCTTAATTCACAAGCTTTTTGTAAGCAATGATGGATAGTGGCTAGCAGTGGAATCCAGGATGCGTGTTTCGTGAATTTGAATTCACCCCATTGAACAAGCAAGTGGCTATCAGAGCTCAGTAGCTGAGTGGATAACACCATGGCGTTTGGAGCGAATGGTACTTGATTCGAGTCCCAGGGTGGACAAATCATACTCGGTAAGCAGGTACATCCAACTGACGAGTCCCAAATAGGGCGGGACGCGCGTCCTGGATTCCACTGCTAGCCACTATCCATCGTTGATTATATTACGTCTTAGACTATACAATGAGGATTGCTTCGATATAGTCATAAGTCACAAGCATTTTAAGCAAAGATGGATAATGACAAATTATGTTGGATAAACGTATTCAAGGTAATGGTAGATATTTCTATTGTGATATCTCAACTGTAACTAATGGACATGTAGGAATAATTCAAATGATAAATAATTTCAGTTTCGCAATTGAATTCACAAGTTTAATCTAAACTAAACTACCATTGAAAAACTAAAAGCACTGAACAATTGTTTCATCTTAATGTGGGATATCTCAATAGTGTGCATACCCCGATTCCATTTGCGCGACTCGAACCCAAGACCTTCAAAGATCAAATATACAAAACACTTCCTATCCGAACATAGAGATGTAATGAGAAAATACATCAAAGAAAACATATATTTGGGAATGTTCTATATCTTACCTCTTTTCTTGACAGTTCTTTTAGATTCCCCTAAACGATAAGTGTAACTTTCAACATTCTCTCCACTTAATGGATTTTGTCGATCTGTATTAATCAAAATCAAAATCAAATATTTGTGATATTATATGTGATCTATACTAGATATATGTGTAAATGCATAGAAAATATGCTTGAGTATTGTGAAAAAGACCAAAGAAACAATGCTCATTAGATGGTCGTTCGAGGTAGTCAACAGGAAACCTTGAATCTAGGTTTCGTGCTACTTGACACTCGTCAGCAAGGTGTGCCTGTAGTCCTGAGGGAACTAGTGCTAGTCCGATCCCGTGTCACCCAGTCTCACAGTCAGAGACTTTACCATTGAGCTATCTGGGCTGCGACCGACCTCCAGTAGGACTGAGATGTAATCACAATTGATCGATCACTGGGTGGTGATCAATGTCATGCGTGTCTAGTCCTTATTATTAGTGCAGATCAAATGCTATCGACCATGTTGCAATATGTCCACCAGTCTAGGTGACTTGACACTGCGAGCCCAGATAGCTCAGTGGTAACTTCTCCGACTGTGAAGATGGGTGACACTGGGTCGAATCCGTCAGGGAGCACCAGTTCCCTCAAAGATTACAGGTACACCTTGTTGACGAATGCCAAGTAGCACGGAACCCAGGTCCAGTGTTTCTTGTTGACTACCTCCAAGCACCATCTAATCTCGCAATAGTGCCCACAGTGTCGAGTCACCTAGACTGGAGGCCATATTGCAACATGGTCTGTAGCATTCGATCTGCACTATAAAGGATCTGACATACATGACATTGATCACCACCCAGTGATCAATCAATTGTGAAACAATGCTTTTGTCAGATATTGCCTAACCTTTCCGGAAACAGACTATGTTGACACTACGAAATACAATTAGAAAGTTAACAATTCATCATGAAAGTCAAACCAACTGTCAATGACATTGCAACTCGTGCTGTATCTTTTAATGATCATCACAAGCGTCCAGGACGTCTTATGAAAAAGTGCAGAAAACAAATATATCACTCATCATTCTCATGATTAAAACAAACTATTCGCCATGTTTACCTAATAAAACACTTCTATCCTCAGTATGACTCTTTTATTGTGTCCTTCATTCACTAACATTACACTACATAAGTTTTCATTCTATACCATCGAATACGATGTATTTCTTCGCAAACGCTTAAACAATCGTTCTCCGCTTTCTCATTTGAGCAGCCAATTAGGCTTTTAAGCAAGAAACTTGTTTATGAGTATTAGAATCAAATATTAGACAACAAAACAACTTAAGCTTAGAACATAAGATAGGGGTCTGTAACTATAAAAAAGCCTTATTTCCAAAGTTAATCTCGATAAAGCAAGTATATATGTAAGTGTGAGTGACCCTTGATCTACGGAAGTTTCTATAAACATGTTAGAATTATTAACAGAACCAATCATTGTCAAATCAGTACTGAACATATAGTTGACTGTTTATTCCTAGAACTCTCAAAGAAGTTTTAATTGAACACTGATTAGAACACGTCCTTTCAGCCTTTTTTCCAATGAATGAAAACTTATCTGACGAATTTCCAATGGGTTTGATCGATTAATGTTAGACCATCATTAAAAATCTAGAAGCACTGAATGGCCGTTTCGTCTTATTGTGGGATTCCTCAGAAGTGTGCATCCACGATCCCTCTCGCGGGATTCGAACATAGGGTCTATCGGTCATGAGCGCGATCGCTTAATCTCTAGACCATTTTCAACCTCTTTTCATGTGAGGAATTCCCAATGAACATTTAACCACATATTAGAATATGAAATATAACATATTATATATTAAATCATAAATGTTACATAATTGAGTTACCTTTAACCACTCTAGGAGTAACATTTCTTTCAATTGGTGTTATTTTATAACTTTGAAGATTTTCACCAGTCACTGTATTCCTGTATACTAAAACAACCAATAATGATAATAATAATAAAAGAAATAAATATGATACTTACTTACTTACTTACTTACGCCTGTTACTCCTAATGGAGCATAGGCCGCCGACCAGCATTCTCCAACCCACTCTGTCCTGTGCCTTCTTTTCTAGTTCCATCCAATTCTTGTTCATTTTTCTCATATCTATCTCCATTTCTCAGTGTAATGTATTCTTTGGTCTTCCTCTCCTCCTTCGGCCTTGAGGATTCCATGTGAGGGCTTGTCTTGTGATGCAGTTCGGTACTTTCCTCAATGTGTGTCCTATCCACTTCCAGCGCTTCTTCCTGATACTTCTTAAGAATTATTCACAGTGTACATCATGGATTGATCTTAGTTAGATAACAATTGGGAACTCCTCAACAATTCATAACCATCAGCTCAATGAAGATCGAACCTAAATAATGCAGGTATGCAGCGATTGTCTAACCTTCAAACATTTGAAGTAGTATTGTAGTGAATATGAACACAAATGGGGACAATCGAATGTATTCAAACACCAAAATTACAGAATATCTCTGTAAAATCTGAGAACCATACGGTAAATGATACATTTGCATAACGTCAATCAATCATCCCAAACTTCATTGTGTCTTCGTTTCTATACAGATCATTCTTTGTTCTCGTTCTTTTTTCTTCAATCTTCTTAACCTTCTGCTACCAGGTATTTGACTTTCGATTGATTTGTCATGCTACTTATATCTGTTGACATCAGTAGCATACATCAGAGTATCGGATGATATAAATATCTAACTTTAAACAATTCCCGATGATGCCTGGTTAAAAATGACTTACTATTTCTGTTGAATACAATTATGAATTCAAAGATGGATTTGATATTAAGTATCATATTTTTTAACTTGGATGATTGAAGTACTGTAGTGTGAACAGTTGAATAGTACAAATAGGTATCTCATCATTAATACACGTTCATCGCTTATCTTTAGTTTCAATGGTTTCGCAATTTGTTTTTCATTAAATCTATTGAAATTCCTGGCCTACTGAACAATCATTTAAACATTGAGTTTACATTTCTTATTCTTTATTCTTATAGTTCTGTATTAATAACGGAATTAATACCGCTTGAAGAACAAGTACCAACAAACTGAAAAGAAGGACATTTGATCAAGATACCAAAGAAAAGCGATCTCAGCTAGTGTGAGAACTATAGAGACATCATTCTTCTCTCAAAAACAAGGTGCTGCTAAATGGAATGAAGGACTCCATAGATACCCAACTTCGAGACCAACAGGCTGGATTGCATAAAGATTGATCGTGTACCGACCAAATCGCAATACTACAAATGGTTAGGGAACAATCAATTGGATGGAATTCACCACTTTATGTCAAATTAGCTGACTATGAGAAAGCATTTGATAGTGTGGACAGGACAACACTATGGAAGCTTCTTCGACACTACAACGTGCCTGAGAAGATAGTCAACATCATACCGAATTCCTACAATGGATTAAACTGCAAAATCGTGCATGGAGAACATCTCAAAGACTCGTTCGAAGTAAAGACCGGTGTCAGGCAAGACTGCTCACTCTCACTCTTTCTCTTTGTCCTGGTGATGGACTGGATCATGAAGACGTCAATATCTGTGGGTGGGAGTACGGGAAATAGAGGATAACTAGGATGCAACTGGACGATCTAGACTTCGCACATGATCCAGCTCTTTTATCGCACACGCAACAAAAAATGCAGGGGAAGATAACCAGTGTAGCAGCAGCCTCAGCGGCAGTGGGTCTCAACATATACAAAAGGAAAAGCAAGACTCTCAGATACAACACAACATGCAACAATCGAATCACACTTGATGGAGAAGCTGTGTAAGATACGAAATCCTTTATATATCTGGGCAACATCATTGATGAATACGGTGAATCTGATGCAGATGTGAAGGTGCTGATCGGTTAAGAAAGAACGCCATATCTACAATTAAAGAATATCTGGAACTCAAAAGAACTGTTTGTCAAACAACACCAACGTCTTAATTTTCAATAATAATGTCAAGACAGTTCTACTGTATGGGGTGGAAACCTGGAGAACTACCAAAGCCATCATTCAGAAGATACATGCGTTTGTTAACAGTTGTCTACACAAAATACTTCGAATTCGTTGACCAAATACTATCAGCAACAAACTACTGTGGGAGAGAAAGAAACCAGATTGCAGTGGAGGAAGAAATTAGGAAGTAGTGCTGGAATCGGATAGGACACATATTGAGGAATGTACCAACTGTGTCATGGGGCAGGTCCTCACTTAGAATCCTCAAGGCTAAATAAAGGAGAATTAAAAAATGAAAGGACACATTACGTCGAGAAATAGAGATAGACATGAGAAGAATGAAGAACATTTGGATAGAACTAGAAAAGAAGTCCTAGGATAGAGTGGATTAGAGAATGCTGTTCGGCAGCATATTCTTCGTTGGAGGTATCAGGCGTAAGTAAAATTAAAAATAAGTATGGTTTACTCTTTACTAAATTCTTAAACATAACTACATTCGATTAGGTTTTTCAAATTGTTGTTATCTTCCTCAATTTTCTTTTTACTTACCATAAGGTTTAGCTGTACGTGGTCTTTCTTCTTGAGATACCATAAAAGCGCTAACATTCTCACCATTCAATGGATTTGAAATTTTGACTGGTGTACGCTTTTTTGATATTTTCACTTCAGAATTATAATCATATGTTGCACAATTTTCACCAGTTATAGCGTTACGTGATGGTTCTAAAAATGAATAGGTCATTGAAACAAGAATCCATCAATAAGAACTCCATATGAGAAACATTATTCCTAGGAATCATTTGGATAACTAGAAGTCAAGAATAGCTGATAAGCTATTCAAATCATATGGATAAGCATATGTTCCAACAAGAATATGGACACAACTTGGCAATAGACATCAAATAGTAACTGTCACTAGTTTGAGAATCCCTATTGATGACCATTGAATACTTAAAACTAAACAGACTGTATAATGGTATTGCCTTATCGTATGCTTGATTATTTTATATCACCGATATCCTTTCCTTTTTGTATAAAAGTTATACTACTGAGTAACAATCAGTAGTTCATGTTATCATTGATCATTTTTGAAGATGATGTTGAACGTATTACCGTTTAGTAAAGTGAAAACCATAATTCATTTTCCATCATTGATGGTAGGCGTTTGACTCGACGTTTCTATTTCCAACGATTCATAAAAACTAATTTTTTTACCAGTTTTGTCTTTGACAAATTCCACTTGTAGCTCTTCTAGGGCTACTGCCGTTCACAAGCCCGGGTAATGGAGGAGGATTGGGCAACCCCATCCCGTAGAGAACAACCTTGCTAAAAAGACGGTAACCCGTTCTCCTAGTCACTGAATCAATATACCTGGACACATCACTATTCGAGGTTTGTGAACTTTATCGGTTATGCTGATTTCCCTTAACATAATCTTATTCTTTGGATTTTAAAATTTTTCATATAAAATTGATCAGTGGATAAGAATTATGAAATGGATCCTGTAATTGATCTAGATAATTCAATATAGTATATTGAAGTTTATTTCGTCTTGAGTAGTTGAAGATGATTAGTAGTATAAATTCAAACTGAGTTTGTAGTATTGGTTACTATGTTAATCCCATATAACTTATTTTAGCTTCTGAACAGGCCAATTTATCCATTTTTCTTGAGTCATGTGTTAACGTTGGTAATTAGTCACTTAACAACTCGGAATGTTTTTATATGAGTGTATGTGTGTGTACACTTCTTATCCTATTCATCAAATGTCTTTAGATTATTTTTTGTGTGACTATAAATATCGATTAACGCTTGATTCAATCAAGTTGGCTCACGCGCCTTCTCCACTGCACGTCATTTCACTTCGATCTCTTCTCTTCGTTTCGTTCCTCTGATTGTCTGTCTAGATTAATGAATGTACAAAATATACGTATTCAAAACATTCATTCTCGTATTTGACTTATTTAATTCCGTCATTCACCAATATGATTAAAGTTGATGAAATATATGAGGATTGACGACATGTATAACTAAATAACGATCAATCATACGATCCAATTGGAGTCACATCCTTGGTCACTAAAGTGGTGAGCCCGTCGGTAAAATTGTCCAATCTAATTGAAGTCGCAATGAAGGACCTCATGAAAAGTTTCTTCTTTGTTTTATATTTAAATCATCCAGGGTAAAACAAGTTATCTTCCAGTATTTATGTCACGTAATTTCCCGAGTTATACTTCCTAATACTCAGACACATAAAAATATATTTCAAAGTAACGAAGTTAAATTACTACTGAGTGAAGATTCTAATCATGAAATGGGTACTTTTCAGGTTGGTAGGCGTTTAAGGTAAATATTAAATCAGGTTCATATTTGACATCGGTTAGAGACTGTACATAACTGAAAATTGCTGAATACTTTCTTCGTCCAAATTTAGAACTACATAATAGTGTGTACAGTAACACCCTCATCGATGTCCTGAAAGTTTTGTATACAACACAAAACTTTCTTAACGTGAATGCAGAAATATTTGCCAGTCAAATTTATACTAATTATAGGTAGCAACAAACGTTCGCGCTAAAGACCGAAAGTTCTGGGTTCGAATCCTGAGTGCAGTATCGACGATGCTCATTGCTAAGGAGTCTCATACTAGGACGAAACAGTCATCCGATTCTTCCAGGTTTTAGGTAGTGGCCTAACATTTATCAATTCACGATCTTAATCGAATACTCAACAATGTCCACAACCCTAATGCTGATACATATAAATATTTTCATTGACATCACTCACCTCGTTGTACACGTTTAATAGGAGATTTCAATTCAGGTGAAACTGTGTAATTTTCACAATTTTCTCCAGTGAAAATATTCTTCGTAGAAACTGATTTATTGAAAATTTTTAAAAAAAACATAAAACTTTTACACTAAAAAGTTGCTTTAACATAAAATATCATAATAAGAGACTGATCACTTGCAGTCCTAAACATCAATGAGAAGACTCAAGTAAACAATATCAAGTGAATCTAAACTTCACCCTTTTGCACAATCAAGTGGCTATCAAGACTCAGTATCTAAGTGAATGCCGCGATGGCGTTTGAAGCGAACGGTATTGTGTTCGACTCTTTGAGTAAACATCAACTGTGAGATGCACGTACATCCAGGTGACGAGTCCCAAATAGGACGAAACGCGCGTCCTGGATTCCATTGCTAGCCACTATCCATCTCTGACTGACTTAGTTTCAAGTCTAGTCAGCATTAGTAAACAAACATGAAGTTTAATCATATAAGAACTAACGTTTCTTGCACAATTCTGCTACATATGAAGAGATTACAAGATCACCTAAAATTGGTGTACGGAACGAAGGATCAACAATGCAACAACAAGATAAGCTAAACTATTCACTGTGCCCCAGTCTTGATATATAGAGGGAGAAGACCAGATTCAATTGAGGGAAAGTATATTCCACAAGACGTCAGAAGCACGAATGAACAAGCACATAACTCAAGCGTATATAAACAATATACAAATGTCTTTCGGAAACCCCACAAATTAGTATGTTAAAGAAGGGGACAAACCAATGACATTTAAGGACCTTCTAAGTGGGAAGTACAAACTAAAGGTACAACTGTTAGCTTTTACTTCAAAAATGAAAACTTCAACATTCTAAAGTAAAATTACAAAATGAGATGTTAACCAAGTGATTTCTGACGATCTAGCATCCTCAATAGATTCAATGATGAACCATCTAGTTTCATATTTGAAGACATTGATATTAAACTATTCTGGCGATGAGGTAGGAATAAAAATCTCACGTCATCCATCTACTTCTTTACCACGAGTGATGCGTTTTACGGATGAATATCAAAAGTACGTTACATAACACTACACTCTATGATTTCGTTACTAATCCACCTTTCTATGTAGATAATACAGTGATAGTATTCACAAAACTCGTTCAGACTGTTTAACTATTAACATTCTATAATTAAACTATTCTGTACAAAAAAGGAATAAGATCATGAATCGACTGATGTTAGACCACCGTTAGAAACCTGGAAGCACTGGATAGCTCTTTCTCTCTAGTATGGGACTTCTTAGCAGTGCGCAGGTTAAGCGTTCTCGCGCGAGGCTGAAAGCCCTGGGTTTGAATCCGTCGAGCGGGATCGTGGGTGCCCACCGCTAAAGCGTCACATACTACGACGAAACGGCCGTCAAGTGCTTCCAGGTTTCTAACGGTGGTCTAACATCAGTCGATTCATGATCTCAATTGAAAACTTAATAATCTCCAGAACCCCAATACTAATAAAAAGAATAAAATTACTTACCATTTCGTTTAGATAGACCATTTTCTTTATTTGTACATCTTTCCTCTGCCATAACAGTGAAAGTTTTCACATTTTCACCAGTTAATGGATTAGTTCTAATACCTAATTAATCATAAAACATTAAATATAATTATAAAACATTGATAATCTGAATAGCAAATTATTCTAGCAGTCTCTTAATTTTGTAAAATACTTTATACTACTTAAATGCCATTTAAGTAAGCTCTAATCTTATGAGATGATTCTCGGAGTTGTAGTGAGAAGCTTCGATTAGTGCAGTTCAACTGTGTCTGTTGTGAGGCAGTCATTTATCGAAGACAATGGAAGATGGTTGCGAGATATTTTGGATCGATTGAAATTAAATATTAACACTAGTGAATGCCAGTTCAGTGGTCTGAATTTTAAGTGTTTGCGTGTGATTCCGAAGGTCCTTGGTTCCAATCCCACGTGTGGGATCGTGGATATTCACTACTGAGGAGACGCATAGTAAGATAAAACAGCCATCCAGTGCTTCTTTGTTTTTAACAGTAATTTAACAATGATGGGTTCATATTCTTGAAAAATGGGTCATCCACAAGAACCTATCTTACTAAAATCTATAAACAGATATTTCATTGCAAAATCATGAAAAATCTCATAAAAACAAATACAAGTTATAGCATCCCTCCTACAATTAAGCTTTCTACGGTTAATTTTGCCAAACCCTTTAATTAACGTATTTTATAGACAATGTTATTCGAACAGTAACAAATTGTCTATGTCTTTGTATTATCATTATTATTACCTCTATATAATCATGTATGCTAGGTTACATGTGACAGCCTACACATATATTCCTTCCTCTACCTTAGCTGTTAGTCGCTTAAACATCTCTCAATGAATCCATAGCTCTCCCATATATATGTTATATATGTGTTCTTGAATCTTATTGTCTGATTTGCTTATCCAACGGATATCCATCTTTGGTGGCAAGATCCCAACAAATCTGGAGCTATAACGAAAATTACTCACAAAAAAGGTCGTGTGTGACCGGCCTCAATTAGTTGTCACTTGGACACTGTGGTTACGCTCTCAAATCACTAAGACCACCTCTAATCTAATTTGCTTTTTATGTACTTCTAGAAGAACGTTTGCACGATGTGGGCGACCGAGAAGTGATAACTGCCCTCATACCTCTAACATCACTGAAGATCACTGACTGAATAATAACACAGTATTCTACAATCAACTTGACCTGGTCACAAAAACTGATCTTTTTTTTTCAGCTTTAGAATAACTCATAAGTGTATGGCTAAAGGTTTTGAGTTTTCACAAGTTCGTCACCTGCCTTGTTTATCTTTACTCACACAGTCAGGTAAGATTCAATTGGTAAAATGTTGAAATCTTGAGTAGAAGGAATATTAAGAACATCATAGAATTTTTAGAAGCATGGTAGTCAGCTCAATCAACAATTAATCAACATGTAGAAATCGATCCAATTTATTAACCAGTCAGAATAATCATGAACAATTATAGGATCAAGAATTAAATCAAAGGGAGTGATAATCAAAATAAATGTTACCAATAATGACAGATTAAAACCCAGCCTGTAGCCCCTCTGGGGTTACTGCCAGTCCCATGCTCGTATAAAGGAGGAGGGTTGGGTATGAGTTTAGCGATCTTATCCCGTAGGAAACTAACTCGCTAAAAAAAGAACACTAACCGGAAAATGACAAATTAAAGGTCAATAAGAACCAATCATGATTAAGGTTGACAAGATAAGACATTAGTCATACTTCACTTATACATGAAGTTTGTGCTGATGATAATATTCAGAATAATAATAAAAACTCTACGATCAAACTAATCAACTCAAAGAAAGAAACTTTATCAAAATGATCCATCTAAACTCTTGATACTAACGTCTTAAGAATTTCTAGTTCCCAAGAACTCTACTACACTTAAACCTTCGAAAAGAAAACAAAAGGTGGGAAATACGATTTGAAAAAAGACTTTCCAAGGTTAGTTTAGGCATAGAAGGAAAGGATATATAAAATTTTGTGTATGTGTGTGAACTTAAGACCCTTACAAAAGATACTGGAACCATTCACGCATTATTAACTGTTCAATCCAGATATGACAAATGGACTATCATTTCTATCACAATTGATTGATCACTGGGTGGTGACCAATGTCATGTTTGTCTAGGGTTTCCTGTGGACTACCTCCAATCACCATCTAATCTCACAATAGTGCCCGCAGTGTCGAGTCACCTAGACTGGTGGCCACATTGCAACATGGTCGATAGCATTCGATCTGCACTAATAATAAGGACTTGACAAGCATGACATTGGTCACTACCCAGTGATCAATCAATTGTGATTACATCTCAGTCCTACTGGAGGTCGGTCGCGGCCCGGATAGCTCAGTGGTAACATCTCTGACTGTGAAGCTGGGTGACACGGGATCGAATCCGCCAAGGAGCACCAGTTCCCTCAAAGATTACAGGTACACCTTGCTGACGAGTGCCAAGTAGCACGAAACCCGGGTCCAGGGTTTCCTGTCGACTATCTCCAATCACCATCTACTATCATTTCTATAGAATACTCTAAGAAGTTCCTTTCAAACTTTGAATAATGAAATAACTTCTACATTTTCATAGATTTTAAAGATTTTTCTGCCACATTCATAAAAAATTCTTTATAGTCTCTAACATAGTACACTTAATAAATCTTCATTTCTCCCTATATCAAACAAATTACCTTTTGAAGTTTATTCTAAACAACGTTGTGGAATAGTGGTGTATACTACTGATGTTAACAAATATAAGTAGTATGATACATCAATCGAAAGTGAAATGCTTAACAGTAGAAAGTTAAGAAGATCGTAAAGAAAAACAGTATGAGAACAAAGAATGATTGATAAGGAAATGAAGGAACAATAAAGTCTGAGACAATTGATGGACATTTTGCGAATGAATTATTTACTGTACGATTCTTAGATTTAACCAAGATATTCTGTAATTTTGTATTCAAAGATATTCGATTGTCCTCTATTTATGTTCTCATTCCCTACAGAATGTCAATGTTTGAAATGGATAGTTCAAAGAAAATAACTGGTTACCCAATTGACCTTGAATGAAGGTCATTTTAAGGCATCAAAAATTCAAATTATGTTCTTTGATAATTTCATTAAACTATTTTGTTAAATTATTTATTTAAACTTTATTTCAATAAACAAATGTAGTTTCTTTCTTTTAACCTTATAATACAATGAAACGTGATGAGCTTGATAATCACCAAAGGTCTTGGGTTCGAATCCCTTTGTGCAGGGTCATGGATATACACTGTTACGAAGTCCCATACTCGTACAAAACAGCTATGAAGTACTTTCAGGTTTCAAATGGTGGTCTAACAGTGATAGATTAATGATCTCAATAGAAAAATCCAAGGTTATTCACATAGTTATAAGAGTCGTTGTATTTCTCGAAACTACCAATTACAAAGTTAAAATAGTAATGATTTGTGATATGGCAACTTGAACTGATGTACATACGTACGAAGTTCCACGTTGTTACTGACTGACTGACTGGCTGAATGAATGATTTGTGATATTAATTAATCAGAATACAAAGTTATTATTCACTTGATATTGTTTTACTTGAATCTTCCTATTGATGTTTAGGACTGCAATTGATCAGTCTCTTATTGGCATATGTGCATACTGTGCGTATTGCCTCGATATTGCCTCAATTTACAATCCACTGCTAGCCACTATCCATCTTTGCTTATAATGCTTGTAAATTGAAGCAATATCGAGGCAATGCACACAGCATGCACATATGCCAATAACACACTGATCAATTGCAGTCCTAAACATCAATGGGAAGATTCAAGTAAAACAATATCAAGTGAATTAAACTTCACCCGATTGCACAAGCAAGTGGCTATCAGGACTCAGTAGCTAAGTGGATAACGCGATGGCGTTTGAAGCGGACGGTACTGGGTCTGAGTCCCAGACTGAACATCAACTCTGTGATGCAGGTACATCCAGCTGACGAGTCCCAAATAGGACGGATCGCGCGTCATGGATTCCACTGCTAGCCACTATCCATCTTTGCTTATAATACAAAGTTATTATGTTGTCATATTGTTTATAGTTTAATAAAACCAAATATATTGTCATGATCATTGGTCAATGAAACATTCGAAATGTTTTCTAGCAGGGATTCTATCGCCATTACTAAACCTAATCCAAAGAGAGAAGCTTTCCGTCAAATTCTAGTTTGGTTTGAAATTCACTTTCTAATAACACACACACTAACTTTCAAACTTATGACATTCATATAAAAAATTAACTGATCATGTTACCATCATGATTTTCTCATCAATTATCAACGTAAAGTTACAAGGTTCCTATGAAAACAGCAAATTATTCTTGTTCTTATAAGTTTATCACTCAAGATTACAGGTACACTATGCTGACAAGTGCAAAATGGCACGAAACCTAGATCTTGGATTTCCTGTTAACTTTATCTAACCACTATCTCATCTCAACATAGTACATGTAATGTTGAGTCACTTAAACATTACAACTTGGTCTAAAGAATTCGATCTATACTTAGAAAAACCTGACACTTGCACTGATCACCAGTCAGTGATCAATCGATTTTAAATCGATCACTATTTTTCTTGTGAATTTAGATGTTATGGAGAATGTCAAGTTTTGATTGAGATCATGAACCGATTGATGTTAGACCACCATTGAAAACCTGGAAACACTGGACGGCCGTTTTGTCCTATTGTGGGGCTCTTCAGCAGTGCACATGCACGATCCCGCTCGCGGGATTCGAACCCAGGACCTTCAGTCTCGCGCGTGAACGCTTAACCCACTCGACCACTGAGCCTGCATCCGACGGTGTCAATGTCTAACCTCAACCAATCCACGAAGTTGCGCGACCATCTTCCATTGTACTGAGGTAGACACCTGTTTCTACCCGACACGGATTAGCTCCACTAATCACGACTTCTCACCAGAACTCCGAGAATTTTCTCACGAACCTAGTCACTAGTGAGTACATTGTAATTATCAATTTAGGTGTTGTGGAGATGGTCAAGTTTTTGATTGAGATCATGAACTGATTGATGTTCGACCACCATTGAAAACCTGGAAGCACTGGACCGCCGTTTTGTCCTATTGTGGGACTCCTTAGCAATGCGAATATCGCGAGTGGGATCGTGGATGCGCACTATTTTTACTATCGGAGATAATATGCCTTTGTCAATACGATTCTAATTATATGCGGAGCCGTATGAGTGCTTACTTTTCTGGACGACTATGTTTCATTGTTCAACGATACTCTACAAAATACCAATATTATGTGTCAAATTACTGATTTTATGATACTTTTCATTTATCAATTACTTTAAACAAATAGCGAATCGATCATGGTAGAACACTAATGAATGATAGAAACTACTATTCATCACTTAAGAACTATCCATTTATTCCACAAAGTACATTTTATTCAAGTACAATGTTATTGATTTTATCATTTCTGATGAAGTTTTCCCTAGATTTCTAGTAGATTTATACTTAGTGAGGACAATAGAATGTAATTGAACACTTCATTACAGAACTATACACTAAATGCTTCATTTACAAAAATGTCAATCAATCATCTCAAACTTGATTGTTCCTTCGTTTCCACAGAAATCATTCTTTGCTCTAGTTCTGTTTTCTTCGATCTTCTTAACCTTCTGCTGTGAGACATTTCACTTTCATTTGATGTATCATACTACTTATATCTGTTGATATCAGTGGCATACACCATATATCGATTGGTATTTCAATTGGACGAACGAAACCCCATCAAAATCGGGATATGTATTTATATCAGAATGGGTTTTTGTGGTTATAATAGTAATTTGAATAGTTCAAATCGTGAGTCAATTGAAGCTAGACCACGATGGAAAACCTGAAAGTATTGGACGGTCGTTTCGTCCCATTATGGGACTCCTTAGCTGTGCGCATCCACGATCCTGCCTCACGAAGCAAGATCATGGATATGTATTTATTTTATAGAATGTTTTTTCTTATTGACATGTATGGATAAGCATTAAGCTGTACTATCAGTATAACATAGAAAAACAGTCAAAATTAAATTGATTTGATGATAAAATCATCATTATTTGTTCTAATGGTAAAGCTCAGATTGTGTTCCCTTAGTTATTATTATGTTATTCAGTGTCAATTAGGATGGGATATCAAGACAAGAGGATAACCTTTATATACTGACTGGCATTTTTTCAATGTCATTTGACATGATCTTAATTGTCAAAGTTAGTGAAGTACATAGGATCAGAGTTACAAAGTGTTTTTATATGATTCACTATAGATATTAACCATCCAATCAAATTTATGTAACACTATAAAATTTGATGAAAACCGCCTTCTATGTTTGTACTGATAGTGATGTGTTGTAAAGATCCAGAAAACTCCTCGAAAAAAGACAAAAAAGGCTCTGAAAACTTTCATGGGATACGAACCCAGAGTCTTCGGTTTCGCGCATGAACACTTAACCTCTAGACCACTGAGCCGGAATCCAACAGTGTTAATGTATAACCTCAACTAATCCACGAGATTGAGCGACCATCTTAGATTGTATTGAGGTAGATACCCTGTCTCTACACGACACGGATTATCTCCACTGATCACGACTTCTCACTAGAACTCCGGGAATTTCCGCTAGACGGAACCGTGGATGAGCACTGCCGAGGAGTCTCACAATATGAGAAAACAGCCATCCAGTGCTTCCAGTTTTTTTCAATGGTGGTCTAATATCAATCGGTTTATGATCTTAATTAAAAGAACATTGGGAAATCTTACCAGTAGAACTTTTGGCTCGTCTAGTTTTTCCATTATATCTACCAATTGGATCCCATTCACGATCACCAAAATTTCCTCTGCCAGAAATAGGATCACGTTGTGCTATATATGTGTACAAAGTATACCAATATGTAAAGAAGTCGTCATTAGTAATAACAAAAAAATGAGTATAATCAGTACAATCTTAGCAGTATCAATTATGATTCACTCTGGAAGCGATTTGAATATATGTATACATGGAAGTATTATAGCAACAAGTCATTGATACTCAGTAGGACTTGTTGAATGAGGACAGAGCACAATAAGTTGGATTTTAGTAACTCAGTGCAAAAAACCAGTCATAAGGACACGATTGTTGATTACAACCCAGACTCAAACTTATCGAACGTTATGAAAAGATCATTGTAAATCATACAGATCAGCTAGTTATGTGAATCATAAACAAGCTGATCATTTATAAACAATATTCCTTTCAAACAGTAAATGATAACACAATAGTCCCAACAAACTATAGTTTACATGACGGACATTGAATAGCAGAAAGCACAGAATAGCTGTTTAGCCCTAGTGTAGGATTTTTCAGTAACCTAAATCTGCGATCACATCGGAGATTGACCCCATGACCATCAGATCTCATAATGTGCCAAAGCTTTAAATCACTGAGTTAACCTTCAATGATTTGTAATGTTAACTTAAATCAACGAACAATATTTAGTAGTCATCATCTAATTCCATTGGTGGATGACAACTCCACTCTTAGCGCAGTCGAAATTAACTCATCTTGGCCCGTCACTAAAACTCTGATAAGTACCTCTTTAAAATGTTGTGTAATACACACTTATTTCCAGTAGTTATCCATTGTCATTCCGTAATATAAGCTATCAAAATGATCAATCTTCGCAAACCTCTCAGTACTGAAATGATCTTGTTTGACCGGACGAATGTTTCACATAATGTTAACGAACCCATTACTACGGTACTTGTAGAATAATTTCAAGATGTCTATTTACATTTAAAGCAGTCACTGATGATAAGAATAACCAGGATAATAATGAAAATTACCCAGCGAAGCCATACGGTTCAGGGACTCTAATACAAATAAATTAGTCCAACTAATTTGAGGAATAAATTGAAAATGATTTCACAGCATTATTTACAGTCCCCAACATTGTAAACACCTAAACATTCTTTTTGACGTTTACATCCATTTCCGACAGTTCTTTATCATCGATGTAGGACCTAATGAGAATGTGTCGTAGTGTGAGTTATCAACTTTCACATTCACACAACGAGAGAGAAAACCGACAGAATGAGAAATAGAAAAAGAGATGAATTTCAAATGCAATGGGGAATGAAACATGCACAATTCAGTTTACAATTATGAGAAAATGAGATGAAGAGTTATCAAGCATACTTAGCATAAAATTTAAAACGTAATAGAGAATGTTAGCAACTGTACTAATGTGATCTTCTGTCTCGACCGTTGCTGCTACCTTGACGTGGTGGTCAGGTTTGCCTATTGTAATGAACCAATCGAGTATTACTAGTTGGAACAATCATTTCTCAAGGTCCTACAGACAGGTCTGTTGAAGAGCGGTAAGAATAAAAGCAACAGACACAAGGTTCAAGTGCGAATTCGTATTGCTGACTGTACAGAGGTGTGACACCAGTAAGGTGTTTTCTTCAGACAACCAGCATAACAGTGATACTGCCTTCTCACAAGGTAGGGTGAGGTTAGAAAAGGTCGACACTGAAAATGCACACCTCACCTTATCCCACGGATTCATGTCTCCGGAGGTAAGATCCCAAAAAGTACAGAGCTAGCACGAAAATACTCTCAAAACGGTGTGTGATCGGCCTCAAGCAGTTACTCCACACTCTCAGGTCACTAAGACGAATTATAACCGGATTTCCTTTTCAAGTACCCTTCCACAATGCGGGCCACCGGGAAGTGATAACTGGCCTCATATCTCTAACAGCAATCAAGATCACTATCACTGATCTTCTGTGAACCAAGTGAATTAGTGGCTCTGATCATGAAATACTAACAATAACTCCGGTATCACTTGTCATCACTGTTAACGGTTTCCAGATGAAAACATAGTATCATATAGATTTTTCAACTGCTTATTCCAAGTAAATAAACCGTAAGTCCTTTTAGCTTCACTGTCACTAATGAAATGGTTGAGAATAGAAGAAATATGATTACACTTGAAAACGGAAGTTTTCAGGAAATGTCTTGCTTAATTTTTACTGCTGAAAACAATGCTTAAGGAATGTCAACATGACGACTACATATATCGATGAACGAATTTCTAATCCCTATCAATAATTAGAGTTTAATTTCAACGGTTGACTCATTGATTCGGATCATATTTGTCTAAATATCATTATTCACAAGTTTTCTTATCTATAAATGTTGAAAGTAGTAAATAATGAGGAAGTTTGTCCATGTTTCTAGACAATGCAGAAACGTTTAGGAGGTAAAATCTATATGGAGAAAATAAAAGATCTATCTCAATCTGACACATTCTAGAAATCGGCAGCGAAATAACTGTCACGAATCAAATTTTCTGGACTAAGACACTACTGATAATATAAGCAAAGATGGATAGTGGCTATCAACAGTGGAATCCAGGAGAAGCGTTTCGTCTTATTTGAGACTCGTCAGCTGGATGTACCCGAATCTGAGTTGATGTTCACTCCAGGTCTCGAACCCAGTACCATTCGCTTTGAACGCCATCGAGTTATCCACTTAGAAACTGAGTCCTGATAGTCATAGTATGCACATATTGCCGATAAGTGACTGATCATTTGCATTCCTAATCATCAATGGGAAGATTCAAGTAAAACAATACCAAGTAATTAAGATCATGAGTCAGTTGAAGCTAGACCACCATGAAAAACCTGGAAGCACTGGACGGCCGTTTAGTCCTATTGTGGGGCTCCTCAGCAATGCGCATCCACGACCTCGCCCCCTGCGAGATTCGAACCTAGGACTTACTGGTTAAGCGCACGAGCACTTAACCACTAACTTACTATTCTGGAGTTCTAGTGAGAAGTAGTGACCAGTGGAGCTCAACCGCGTCTGTTGTGAGATAATAATTCACTGACGACAATGGTGGATGTGTCGCTCTATTTCATGGATTCGTTGAAGTTAGACATTAACACCGTTGGATACCGGCTGGCTCAGTGGTCTATAGGTTAAGTGTTCATACACGAGACCGAAGGTCCTAGGTCTGAATCCCGCGTACGAGATCGTGGATACTCATTGTTCACGAATTCCATACTAGGATGATATAGTCATCCACTACTTCTAAATTTTTCAAGGTGGTCTAACTTAAATCGACTCATCAATTCAATCATTAAAGAACTACTACAATTTCCATAAACAGTTATTCAGATAGTAAGTTTTCTATTTTGCCCAAAAGTTTTCTTATTTTTTATCTTCTATATTATTCAATTTGTCTGGGAAAAACAAATGAAATTAGTTTGAATGAATCAATAATGAATAACCATGACAATTCGAATGAGAAAACCGAGAAAACTGAATCAAATATTTGAAATTGATTGGTTGGTTACAGAGATGTTTTTTTCTCTTTTTTTTCTTTCTCTCTGTTTTTTCTTATTTTTTTTTTTGGGAAAAACAAACAAACAATTTATGCTCGTTTGTCAATGATATTGATGAATCATTGTTTCATAGATAAATAAATTACTGAACGACTCAATGAGTCATTCTAATCAAATCAAATGTATAGTCTAATAATCAGAAGGGATTTGTGGAGATTTTAGTTGAAATCATGAGTAAATTGAAGTTAGATCACTATGGAAAACCTAAATGCACTAAATGGCCATCTCGTCCTACTGTAGGACTCTTTAATAGTACACAGTCATGATCCTACCTCGCGAGATTCGAAGCTAAGATGTACCAATTTCGCGCGCAAGCGCCTTACCATTAGACCACTGAACCGGCATTTAATGGTGTTAATGTCTAAATTTAACCAATCCATGAAACCGCGCCACCGTGCACCATTGTCTTCAGTGAGCTAATATCTCACAACAGACCCCGTTGAACTCCACTGGTCACTGCTTCTTACTAAAACTCCAGGAAATACCTCTTGGAATCAGTCACTAGTGAGCAGATGATTATTATTAGAAGGGGTTTTGTGTAGATTTTAGTAAGTTCAGTAGTTGAAATCATGAGTCAATTGAAACTGGACCACCATGGAAAACCTGGAAGCACTGGATGGCCGTTTCGTCCTATCATGAGACTGATCAGTAGTGCGCATCTAACCAGGTCTGTTATGAGATATCAGTTCACTGAAGACAATGGTGTACGGTGACGCGATTTCGTGTATAGTCTAATTGAAAATGTAGATTTAAGGTGAAAGATTAAGGAAAAGTTCTTGATGAAGTTTTCTTGTCTCAAAACTCAAGTTTGTGCTGATGATGTTGCTCAGAAGAACGATGGAAGCCCCATAACTATTCCATTCAACTCAGAGAACAAAACTTCATTAAAATCATCCACCTGAGTTACTAATCTTCTCCAACTGAGAAAAAGTGGAACATAAATGTGTACAGGTAACTAGATTTGGTAAACGTTTGGATTATGGTTAGTATCCTTTTCTTTTTATTTAATTGGTTTACATGTATATCTATGGTATCCTTTCTGTATTTGAATAGATTGAAAAACATCAATCAGAGTATTTCTTTTATTCATATTTATTTGAACACATAAATATTGGTAGAAAGGGACATTGAATACAAACGCACCACACAAGTCAGTTGATTTGTGTGTGGGCTGTGATACTGTCCTGGTGCCCAAACCGAAGTAAGTGGTTTACTTAGGGGGCCACACACGGAGCCTTCAAACTAAAGGCAGTGAAGCAACGTCATGCGACGCAATCCCATGGTAGGCAGTGACCAAAGATTGGTTTATCCGCCATTTGTTCCTTCAGGATCCTATAGCCTATATACACCATTGGTTTGGAATTAAAGTTTTCCAACTCCTCCAGATGGATCCTCTATATTCACCAACCCAGTTAAAGCGTTAATGTCACGAGAAGTCATTAATCGCTCTCTACTGGATCGATAGTTTGTCTAATAAGCTGTAATAAGTAATATACTCAGTTTTGGTTAATTTTCACATGAATTTTCTGTCATTATCGTAATTGGGATGTTTTTTCAAACGTAAAGTGCTAAAGGATGTATTACACGAATTTTTAATTTCATTGTAAATTTCCCTGGAAGTGGGCGTGCACGACTTCACACAGTGATGAATGACATAAACTTTCAAATTCAATCAGAGAATCAAGAATTTTCATATCATGTCATCTTTTCTTAATCCTTTCTAATAACGATTTCTACTAATACTATTCATACTACTCTAGGGTTTTTCGCAACCATTTTATTTCACTGAGTAAATGTAATGTTGTTACTTAGATACGAAGATATTCCAAGCTCTATGTTGTCCATAACTAGCTAACTATCCTTTGTATCATTCAATCAATTCAATAGTCTGATTAGTTATTTTATTTCACTTAGAGAACTATCAGCTATTTACATTCAAACTATAACATTATTCACTGGGTGGTAACCAATGTCATGCGTGTCTAGTATTTATTATTAGTGCAGATCGAATGCTATCGATCATGTTGCAATATGGCTACCAGTCTAGGTGACTCGACACTGCGGTCACTATTGTGAGATTAGATGGTGGTTGGAGGTAGTCGACAGGAAACCCTGGACTCGGGTTTCGTCCTACTTGGCACTCGTCAGCAAGATGTACCTGTAATCTTGAGGAAACTGATGCTCCCTGATGGATTCGATCCCGTGTCACCCAGCTTCACAGTCAGAGACGTTACCACTGAACTATCCGGGCCCGCAGTGTCGAGTCACCTAGATTAGTGGGCATATTGCAACATGGTCGATAGGATTCGATCTGCACTAATAATAAGGACTAGACACGCATGACATTGATCACCACCCAGTGATCAATCAATTCTGATTACATCTCAGTCCTACAGGAGGTCGGACGCAGCCCGGATAGCTCAGTGGTGACGTCTCTGACTGTGAGACTGGATGACACGGGATCGGACTAGTACTAGTTCCCTCAGGACTACAGGTACACCTTGCTGACGAGTGCCAAGTAGCACGAAACCTGAGTCCAGGGTTTCCTATTGACTAACTCCAACCACCATTTAATTAGTCTATCATTATTCATTTCAATTTTGATCTAATGAACATTTCGTAATCTCCAACAAGAACGACAACAACAATAACAACAACAAAATCATTCTCTCTGTATATTGATCAACATGAATTGACTACTATTTTAAATATCCCAGTATAATCTCATTGAAATTGTAACCAATTAAATTGAATTATTGATCTTAACGGTATCGATTACAATTTAGATGGAGTTTTTGTTTGTTTGTTTGTTTTATTCGGTATGTAGAGAGAATTTACAAACAATTTGTAAATGTTTCTTTCTTTTTTCTTGGTTTCAATCACCGTATCCATCATGTATGAAACGTTTATCTATCGTTTCATTGTGTTGTTTTTCCCCTCTTAATACGGTATGGATTGTTGACATAAACAATGATTGTGTTGTATCATTGTAAAGTATGTTAGTAACAATCAGTTGTCACTATATTTTGATTAAAATTTCGGATAGTGATTATTTATTATTTATTTAAATGATGATACAAGAAGGTACCAAATATAAATATATGCGTCATACAAATCATTTGATTTGTGTGAGGGTTGGGATACTGTCCAGGCAGCCACACCGAAGCATGTGGTTTTCTTAGCGATACACTTTACGAGCATAAGACTTAAAAAGTTTAATCCACAAGTCAATGAGACAATATCAGCAGATATACTCCCATGGTAGTTAGTGAACAAGAATAGGTTCTTACGCCATTTGTTCTCTCTGGATCCTGGAGATCAGGGTTTTCCAACTTCCCTAAGTGCGTCCTCCATATCCATCAACTCAATTAAAGCTCAGGACATTCGCGTTTCATTCTCTCAATCTCGTGAACAACACCCTCAACATGAGAATGTACTGAGTAGGATTTCCCTGGTGTTGGTTGTATACGAATGGCCAAGTGTTAGCATTTCCAGAGAGAGATAGCGGACTCTCCCCACTCTCAAGCTCATCAAAGCATTTCGGAGTGAAATGTGGCAACGAACCGTTGCAGTATGGAGATGTCCTGTTAATAGGAGACTTAATATTTTGTGACGAATCTCTGATCGGAGTGAAAATCACTTCGAATGCAGTCGCACTGCGTTGATGAGTCTTAAGTAGGATGAAAAGTGCGTATTGGGTCCCACTACTAGCCACTATCTCTCTCTGCTTATGATTCTTGTGATATTTATTCAGTATATCATTGATTTAATTTTAAATTGATTGTAATGTTTGTGTAATATTTATTCAATATTACAACCGTTTGTATTGATTTAGTGTGATATTTGCTCGACATAATATCTGGTTGTTTTTGTAAGATCCTGGAGCCTATGTGGACCAATGGTTTAGGATCAAAGTTTTCAAACTACCCTAGATGGATCATCTATATCCACCAACCTGGCTAGAGCACCGGACATTCGCTAATCGTAAACAACTCCCCCTCTCACCAGGAGAAGATAGTGAGTTGGACTTCCCTGACAGTGGCTGCGTACGCGTGTAACAAAACCGAAAAAAATGTGCGATTTTTATTTTTCTATTACTAGTGATTTATGTCAGCTAGAGTACCGAGGAAAGTTGTTTTACTTTAAACCACTTCATCAATGTTTTTGCCTCCCTTCGCTCTTTTCTAAAAAAAAATATGACAGATAGGATGATAGTTTAAAACATTCAGGTTTTATGATGAAATTATATTATCACTGTTATGGAATCAGGGATTAAAATTTGGCTGTTCTATGAGTTTGTTATATGCAAAGGAAGATGAAATTATGCTTACACTATACATACAAGTGTACTCTTTTTGAATGGTGCAAGTATTTCAGTGATAAGCGTCACTATATAGAGAGGATGTTACAATGCCAGGACAATTGAGAAGTTGGCCTTCTCAGAACGTCCGATGACATTCGAAACAAGAATGTATTGTAACAAACGAGAAGTAATGTAAGGAAAACATGACATATTACAGTGGAAGTGCATACAGTATAACTATTATGACTTTAGTGCACTTATTTATTGAATAGAGCGATGTATTCTATGATTGAAGCATATTGTACAAAATCAAGTAAAGTCGTGTTCTTCTTCAAACTCGTGATTGGACCTAAATCCTTTCCAAAATATAGATGACAGATATTCCATTAGATAATAATTTGAGATAAAGCCACAACGTATTTAGAAAGGCGAAAACCTTAAGTTCTTCCGGAAAAATTCCAGTAACTATTTACTGTTTTATTCACATGGTATTGTTTGTTTTTATCTTCCCAATGGTTGATTTAGGACTGCAATCGATCATTCACTTGATGACAAATGTGTATTTTGTGCAGACTGCCTCAATATTGTCACAAGCTTTATAAGTATCGATGGATAGTGGCTAGTAGTAGAATCTAGTTTGACGCGCATTTCTCCCTCATTTGGGACTCGTCAGTTGGATGTACCTGCATCCCAGAGTTGATGTTCACCCCACTGCACAAACAGGAGACTATCGAAACTCAGTAGCTAAATGGATAATGCAATGACGTTTGAAGCAAACGGTACTGGATTCAAGTCCTGAAGTGAATATCAACTCAAGGATGCAGGTACATCCAGATGACATGTAGCAAATAGGATAAAACGCTCATCAAACTGGATTCCATTGCTAGCCACTTTCCATCTTTGCTTACTTACTGTTTTGTTTGTTTATTGTTCATTATACTATATTTCAAGTGTTACATTTCACATATTTATTCACTAATTGACATAAGTTTTGTGACATTCAATTGGGTAATGCTTAATGCTTCCTTTTTTCATAAGAGCAGTAATGATAATTATAGACATTTTAATAGGGATTACTATGAATTTTTAATGACTGAAAACAATTTTTTTTCTTTCGGTATAAATAAACAAAACTTACGTTCCCTAGGAGTTCCACTACGTGAACCATTAGTTGTACGTAATCTATCAACTTCATCACCAAGATCACCAGTTAAAGCGATTGGATTACGTGTTGGTTCTACAATAAATAGTAAACAGAAATGATCATGAATAGATATAAGGATGAATTTCTCAATAGTGATTAATTGTTAGATCTCATTTTTGTTCAGTGAATAATTCACATCATTGAAAACCGTCTTAGTGGTCTAGTGGGAAAGCGCCCGCGCGCTAGGTCCTAGGTTCGAATCTCGTGAGGCAAAGTCGTGGATGAGCACTACTGAGAAGTCCATTGAAATTAATGTATATATGAAAATACAATACACTAGACAGTCATGACGATATCCTATGAAAAGAGTACAACTACATTGTTCATTATTTCAATCTGGAATCAACACAATAAATCAACTGGTGAGACTATAATTTATGAAGGAATGAATCAGTTATAAGATAAAAGGTCTCGGATTTTTACACGAAATTCACTTATCCATTTGGCTAAACAGCGTTTTGACATTATAGCTCATCTCAGTTCGTAATGAAAACTTTGAATCTTACTCCTAACCTTAATCATCAACTATAAATCATAATTCTAATTCCTCTTATTGGTTTATAACACACATTTGATCCTAGTTAGTAGTGGTATATATATATATATATCAGTATTTATTCATTTCATTCGGTAGCCCGATACAGTTTCTCCTCCACTCTTGTGTTCCTGCTTAAGTAGTCAGTTGATGGGTTAACGCGTATCATACTGTATATCAATATCAGATTTCGAACCTAGCTCTTCCATTCCGTACACACCAACAAACAAAGGTCAAGACAAAGAGTTTAGCAGAAGCCTTTGAATCAGTAGGCCTAAAAATATACAAAGGAAAAAACTAAGATCCTCAAATTCAACACAAAGAACACCAACCCAATCAAACTTGATGGACAAACTCTAGAAAAAGTGAAAAGTCTCACATATCTGAGTAGCATGATCGACGAACAACGAGGATCTGATGCAGACGTAAATGAAAGAATTAGCAATGCAATAACAACATTTCTAAACTTGAAGAACATATAGAACTCAAAACAACTGTCAACCAACATCAAAGTTAAAATTTTTAATACGAATATCAAGACAGTCGTACTGCACAGGGCTGAAACGTGGAGAACTACTGCAACCATCATTATGATGCACACTTATTTGTCAACAATTGTTGGTTGACCGGATACCATCAGCAGCAGCCTACTGTGGGAGAGAACAAACTAACTTCCTACTGAAGAGAAAGTTAGGATAAGACGTTAAAACGGATAGGAAACACATTGAGAAAATCTTTAAACTGCATTAAAAAGCAAGCCCTAACTTTGAATCTTGAAGGGAAACGAGAAAAATGAAGGTTGAAGAACACATGTGTCGAGAATTAGAAATAGACATGAGAAGGATGAACAGCAACTGGAAACAACTAGAAAGGATTGTCGAGTAAATAGTTGGGTGAAGAATTCTGGCAGGTGGTCTATGCTCCTTGACGAGTGGTAACAGGAGTAGATAAGTAACGTCATAAGTAACAAAACATGACTATGAGATACAAGAAAATTAGCAAATTTAAGATATTAACAACTAATCCCAACGAACGACCGTCGTATGAAAACTTGATTAAGAAAAAAATGTGATTGCTATGATCGTTACCAAAAAAATATACATCTGGTAACAGAAACTTGATAATCTTAGATCATCCTAGCAGGCGATTAACTGTTGATCTTAATGATGATAAAGTGTGGATGCAATTGAGACATTATAGTCACCTTTCTTTCATGTCACTCAATATTTACAATAATTAATACTGACTACTTCACTATATCACCAGAAATTGAGTTCTTACAAACTATATATTGATCAGAAGTCAATTACATCATACATTGATATCGCTTCTTAATCTACCTAACCTTAGTATTTTCTATTACTTACTTACGCCTGTTACTCCTAATGGAGCATAGGCTGCCGACCAGTACTCTCCAACCCACTCTGTCCTTATTTCAAGCATTGATGCACATCGGATATGTATAACCGATGTCTTAATCATTGCAATCAATCACTGTTTATAGTTTCATGAATCCATTTGTTTCATTCACTTAATACTGTCCAACATTAACATAACTCCCTAGACTATTTCAACATACATCAATGATAATTGTAATACTGTGTTACATACTACTTATGTTGACAGATATCAGTAGCATATAAAATTAATCAAAAACAGGATACCGAACAGCAGAATGTTGAGAAGATCGAATTGATGAGAATAGGAATGTGAGAGTGACTGTGATAACAACAGGAACGATAAAGTTTGTAAGAGACAGTTGATTGATAATATACAAATGGAGTATTTATTGTATGGTTTTCGCATTTTAGGGAAACATTATGTAATTTGATCTTCTCTACCTGAGTCTTCGTACAGCACAAGATAACTGTGTACAAATATTGATAGCCTACACATTTCTTATACCTTCATTCTCTATACTACATATGTGAATGAACTGATATTATTTGTATCCTTGCACAAACAATCGATAAACAGGTAAACAAATCCGTCAATATATTGTTTACTCAACACCAGTAATGATAGAAGACAAATTTTGAACACAATGACACTAGTGAGAAGCAGTGACCAGTGGGGTTCAACCGCGTGTGTTTTGAGATAGTAACTCACTGAAGACAATAGTGAGTGTGTCGCCCAAGTGGTTAAGTGTTCGTGCGCGATACTGATAAGTCCTGAGTTCGAATCTCACGAGGCTGGATCGTGAATGCGCACTACTGACGAGTCTTACAGTAGAACGAGACAGCCATCCAGTGCATCCAGGTTTTCCATGGTGGTTTACCTTCAGCTGACTAATGATATCAACTGTTGACAATAGCATATAGAAAGCTGATATTACACTAGGCAATAAGTTATTCTACAGTTTATTGATTGATATATTCACACTACTATTCAATGAAAACAACATTCTTATTGTTTCCTATTATTGTCTGAATGACTGTACACTATAAAAATGTTCAAACAGACAGAACATATTGAAGGCATATACATACAAACATATGTACATGCACAATTAGAAATAATTTGACATTTCAGTTTATCCCAATCATTTTGATCAACAACAACAACAACAACAACAATAGTTTCACTTGCCAAATTAATTTTTTAGTTTTTTTTATTCATCTATCGTATTTATACTCTACTATTCAAGGGACAATATTAGATGATACTAAAGAATCTTATAAGCTGAATATATAACTAATGAATACAAATAAGGAGGATAGGATTATGAAAGATCACTTGATTTGTGTGTAGGGTGTGATAATGACCGGGTTCTCATACCGAAGCAGGTGGTTTCCTTAGGGGGCTACAAGTGAAGCCTTTAACCTAAAGGTCTGATCAACAATGCACTGGAGGAACGTAAGGAGATGCAGTCACATAGGATCCGGTGACCGATAGTATGTTCAATCGCCATTTGTTCTCTCAAGATGCTGGAGCCCACTTACACCATTGTTTTAGAATGACTCCCCTAAGTTAGCCCTCCGTGTTCACCAACCCAGTTAAAGTTCCAGACATTCGCTTTACGTCCTCTTAACTTGTCAAACAACACCGGCGCCACCGTGAGAAGGCAGTGAGTAAGACTTCCCTCACGGTGGTTGTATACTTGTGGTCATGTGAGAGCATTTCTAGAGGGAGAGCAAACTCTCCCCACCCTCGGCCGTACCAGGTCAGTTATAAGCGGAGCTAATGTTAACTAGCAATAGAGTCCATATGCACGTCTCGTTATATTTTGGACTAGTCAGTTGTATATCACAGTTGGCCTTTTCTATAGGACTCGAACCCAGTACCGTTCGCTTCAAAAGAAATCGCATTATTTCCTTAACTACTGAACCCATATAGCCACTAGCTTGTGCAACGGGGTAAAGTTTGATGCAAGTACATCCAGCTAATGAGTCCTAAATGGGACGAAACTCATGTGTTGCATTCAACTACTAATCACCATCATCTCCACATATAATGTTTGTAATATAAAGTGATATCGAGGCAATCCGAACAAGGTGCACACATATCTGTAATAGGCTGATCAATTAGAAGATTTAGCCAACCAACACAAAAATGAATTAAATGATAAATTGATTATTGAACCATAATACAATCCTTAAAATGTTTTAAGACATTCAAGATAAACAGAATCAACATTGTTCATAGTTGTACGTATACATTCAAGCCAAAAGTAATAGAATGGTTTCATTCTTCACTGATTATCAGTCTAATAAGACATCTTGAATGTTATAATCAAGTGGTTTGTTTGCTAGAACATAAATTTAGAAAGGATTCCTGAAATGTTTTTTGAGAAACAGTGAGTGATAATGGTTTCCACTTTATTGATCAAAGTGGAATCAATAATACTTACACACAATACATTAAATTGTTTAACATTAGATATGTGAATATTTCGATGCTGAATTAATGTTTTTTAGAATAATGTTCTTTCCCTTACTAAAACATAATAGAGATAACTTCAACTGATGGAAAGATGGTAGATAGAAACTGTCCACTGATTACAGGGTACCTTCAACTGATTTTAATCTGTATAACAAATCGTTTCTAAGGAGAAAAACATTGTTCAATGTTTTCTTGATTGTTTAATCAATCAACAAAGAATAATGATCGATTGTGAAATATAAACAAAATATAGGTCAACAATAGTTTATTAACTTACGTTTACTCTTCTTAATTGTATGTCCATTATTCTTACATACTGTTGCATTATCTACATCCCATGAGATTAATGTTGTGTTGAAAGCTATATATATTAAGTAAAGAGAATTTGACAGAGTACACTACAACTATATAAATCAATGAGAATACAATTTTCACATATAATAACATATACATTAGATTATTGTATCGTTTTATATCAGTAGAGTAGATCTAGACTAAAATCATCAATAGACACTATATACAGTTGATAAGAATGAGTTAAAATAAGAAATCAAGAAGAAGCACTAAATGTGGATAGGTTACATATTGATAAAAGCACCTAAATGCATCACAAGGCAAGTCATCACATAGAATCCTCAAAGCCATAGGAGAAGGCGAAGACCAATGAACACATAACGTCGAGAAAAGAAGGCAGATATGAGAAGAATAAACAACAATTGAATAGAACTAGAAAGGAAGATCCAAAACAGAATGGGTTGGAGAATGATGGTTGGGGGCTTATGCTCCATTGGGAGTAACAAGCGTAAGTAAGTAAAACAACAGATTTATTATAAAATGTTCTATGAAGTGAAACCTATAACTCTCATGAGTTAGTAATAATTACTGATGTTGTCAGTCTTCTAATGAATATTTGACTTCTCCCTGAAATATGTAATGGGATCGTTGTATACTAGAAGAAATTATATGAATTATTATATCATGAAGTAGAGTGTGATGATATTATTCAGAACGAACTCTTTATTGAAATCATCTAGGTGAAAGAATTCAACAACAAATGGATGTGTCAAGGTTTGTTTATTCACTTTGTTTTTGTTATTCGTTATTCGATTGGATAGTCTTCTAAATTTGGTTCTAATCAGAAGGGGGTTTTGTGGAGATTTTAGTAATTTCAATAGTTGAAATCATGAGTCAATTGAAACTAGACCACCATGGAAAACCTGAAAGCACTGGACGGCCGTTTCGTTGATAGGTCCTGGGTTCGAATTCCGTGGGGGCGGGATCGTGGTTACGTACTGCTGAGGAGTCCTATACTAGAACAAAACGATCTTCCAGTGCTTCCAGGGTTTCCACGGTGGTCTAGCTTCAATTGACTGATGATTTCAACTATTGTAATTAATATAAAACGTGAGGGAATTCTCAGAGTTCTAGTGAGAAGCCGTGTTCAGTAGAGCTAATCCGTGTCAGGTAGAGAAAGGTATCTACCTCAGTACAATAGACATTTCGAGTTGAATATAAACATAAAACAATGAGTTGATCTTTTCTAATGCATGTGATATTGAGCTTTGTCACACTGAACTTTCAGTAACCGATTATAAAAATTACGTTTACTCTAATTAGATTGTTAATATATTTCCTAATAATCAGTAGGTTCATGATGTAAAATACTATGATTACGTCTGATGTTCTATTGTGGTGCGAGCTACTTATATCGACATAAGTAGTACATAAAGATAGTCAGTAATAGAATGTCTGGCAGCAGGAAGTCAAGAAGATCGAGGAGGAAAGAACGGAACTGAAATCAGTTAGTATGGAAATGCAAGAACATTCAAGTTTGTGACAATTGACTGACATATTGCAAATGATGTATTTACTGTATAGTTCTCAGATTTTACTATGATCTGTAATTTTGTGTTCAAACACATTCGGTTCTTCCCACTTATGTTCTCGTTCAGTACATCTTATTCTTCTAACCTAATCATACATTATTCACTTGGTGTTGTTTTATTTGTATCTTTCCACTGTTACTTATCAGCACTTACTACTTGTCATATATATAAGAGAACTCGAGTAACTAAGTACAGAGTAATTCGTTTATTTCGAATAAGAGTTATATATTTAAAGTGAGAGACTAATGAAACCCATTGGACCCAAGCTGGACAGCAAAGGCCAGATATAGGTTACGAAGAGCAAAATGCTCTACACATTCAGGGAGTTGTTCTGATGCTGTCCAAAGTAGCACGAAATGCACTTATAGGGTGGGACTGCAATTGATCAGTCTCTTATTGACATATGTGTATCCTGTAAGGATTGCCTTTATATAGCTTTAAGTCACAAGCTTTTTAAACAAAGATGGACAGTGGCTAGCGATGGAATTAAGTTTGATGCACGTTTCGCCCTATTCAGAATTCATCCGCTGGATGTAACTGCATTCCAGAGCTGATATTCACTCCAAGACTCGAATCCAGTAATCTTACATTAGTTAACAATGTGTATCAAGCTACACAGTAATTTGGCTCATAACACACTTTCCCCAATCACCTTAGCTGACAAAATCCAAGTTTCTTATAGATAAGAGCAAGGTTTTAAAGAAACATCTTTGAATAGTTACTAATCACCTATGAATTTCATTTCCTTGAAAAAGCTTAGACCAGATTGTCGAGTGAAACGTTGGATTTCTTTCAAATTCTTTTGCTGAGATTTTACAAATACATTCTTCCACATTACTAAACGCCATGTTATATTCCAAGTTATCTAATCTACATGTATTGTAGGTATATTGGGGCAAGTTATAATATAACTGAATCATTATTTCATCGATCTCAACTTTGTAGACAAACACTTTGTAAATGTGAATTTTCAGTTGACTGTCACCAATTTTAGCCATCCATAAAATATAAATAAATGATCATATAATTTATCTATCCATATAGGGATTTGTAGAGATTAAGTTCGAGTCCCTCATGTAAGATCATGAATGCACTATACTGATGAATCTCATATGATGGTGAAACATTTGCCCAGTGCTACTTAATTTTCAATAGTAGTTTAACTTAGATCAACTATTATTAGAATTTAATGATTCACTTTATTTTAATTAACAAAAGAAAAAGGGGACATTTTTCCATTGACATTTATTTCAATATGTCATTATTTAAGAATCCTAGACAAAGATAATTGTTTATATGCACCAAATATATGTAGATTGTTTTTTTTTTTAATTTTCTATTGAATTTATCGATTATTCTGTTGTGTATGCTACTGATATCGACACAAATCGAAGGTGAAATGCCTAGAAGCACAAGGTTAAGAAGATCAAAGAAAAGAAAACGACAACAAAGAATAGTTGGTGTGGAAACGAAGGAACAATCAAGTCTGGAAAGATTGATCGATATTTTGCGAATAAGATGATTACTGTATAGTTTCTGATTGAGAACATGAATCGATTGATGCTAGACCACTGTTGAAAACCTGGAAGCACTAAATGGTAGTTTCGTCCCGATTGTGGCACTCCTCAGCAGTGCGCATCTATGATCCCGTTCACAATGTGGTGTGTGCTACTTATGTAGACACAAGTAGTATATGACGTGAGTCGTGAAAAGAATGTCTGGCAGCAGAGAGACAAGAAGATCGAACAATAAAGAATGAAGAAAGAATGCAATTTTTAGGAAAATACAAGAACAAAGGAATTTTGAGTCATTTGAGACAATTGATGAACATTTTGCAAATTAAGCATTTCATATATGGTTGTTGGATTTTACTAAGTAGTTCTGTAATTTGTTAAAAACATTTGATTGTCCCCCACTAGTGTTTCGTTCAATACAGCGGTATTGAAATCCAGGGCATTCAGTCTTGCGCGCGAACGTTTAACTTACCAAGGTGCTGAGCCGAAATCCAATAGTGTTAGTGTCTAACATCAACCAATCCACGAAATTTCGTGACCATTTTCCATTGTATTGTAGAAACGAAGAGACAGTGAATTCTGAGACAATTGATTGACATATTTCAAATGAAGTACTTATTGTATAAATCACAGATTTTACCAAGACATTATGTAATTTTATATTGAAATACATTCGAATTAACCAACTTATGTTCTTGTTCAATTACAATCCGTTAGATTGGTTTAAAAAATAACTAGACAGTTTATAACAATGTCAAAGGAGGTGAAACCTAATAGCATTTTATATCCTTCCATGTTTAACGAATAAACCATTATTATTTTAGACAGATAAATAATAAACAATAAACAATAAAGATCATCAGTCAATCATGAAAAACCTGAAAGAACAAAACAATAGGACTCCTCAGCAATGCGCATCTACGATCTCACCTCACGAGATTCGAATTCGTCCAGTGCTTACAGATTTCCCATGATGGTTTCACTTTAATTGACTCATGAATTCAACTATTAAAATGACTATAATCTCCACACAAAAAAAAACCCCTTCTGATATTAAACAATGAATAATTGTTTTGTTTATTCAATACAGCTGAAACTAATTTAAACTGTAAATAGAAAGACAAACATTTCACTTTTCCCGCCAAAAAAAAACAAACTTGTTTACTTTATTTGTTTATTTTTTGTTGCTGTTTGTTTTTTCTTTTTGATATTGACATTCTATATTTAGTAAAGTAATTAATGTCTAATGTCAATCAAATTGAATTATATTCATTCATTTAATAATTGATATAATATAGTAAATCAATAAACAATCTAATAACCTATTCAGTAGTATTTGTATGAAGATATAAAAAAAATAACAATAGTGGAATTCATAAGTTAATTCAAGCTAGATCATCATGAAAAAGTTGGAAGAAGCACTAGATAGTGGTTTCGTTTGAGTATTGAACTCCTCAGCAATGTGCATCCACTATCCCGAATGTGAGATCACCGAAACCTAGAACTTTCGGACTCATGAACGAACGTTTGACCTCTATATCACTGAGATGGTATCCGACAGTTTAACTCTAACCAGTCTACGGAATTGAGTCACCGTACACTATTGTCTTCAGTGAGTTATTATCACACAATAGATCTGGTTGGACTCATGAGAGAGGGATTGCGGATACGAATTATTGAAGAGTCTCATGCTAGGACGAAACTACCAAGTTTTCCATGGTGATCTAATTTCAATTGACTCATGATCTCAACTATTAAAATTACTATAATATCCACAAAACCTTTTCTGAAGTATATTATCTGTTGTGAATCTAAAAATGAGAAAATTCAAGTGTGTTTTCCTTTTTTCTTTCGTTATTTTTAAAGAATTTCAATTTATTCATCAAATACATATTTCACAATTAGGAGGTATATACGAACCAAGATAGTAGATCTTGAATTTTGGCGCGAAATTCATTTACCCATCTATTTGAAAAGAGTCTTGGGATTCTTAGCTCATATCAATTCGTGATCCCGCGAGGCGGGGTTATGGATAATCACTGTTGAGGAGTTCCACAGTAGAACGAAATGCCTGTACAGTGCTTGCAGGTTTTGTAAGGTGGTCTAACATCAATTGACTCATTATCTCAACTATTGACATTAAATCTAATTTCTAAACGTAACTATCAAATGAAAATCATAATTTGAATTCCTCACACTAATATATAACCCCCATTTGACCATAGTAACTAGGTGGATACTATTAAAGTCATTTTAACATTTTACCAGTGTCTTAAACTTATGTTACTGAAAGTGAATGATCACTAATAACTACTGAAGAAACATTTTTTGTTTGTAAATTTATTTAAATAATTAGAAGTTATAAAAAGTACATTGAATGTTATTTCTTGAGAATTCTTTATTGTATCTAAGGGAGTAAGTATTATAATCATAAATAATACTAAGTTATGTGTAATTTAAAAATCAGGTCTCAGTGGATGAAGAAATCAGGAAGAAGCGCTGGAAGTGAATAGGACACACATTGGGGAAAGCACCAAACTGAGTCACAAGACAAGCCCTCACATAGAATCCTTAAGGCCGTAGGAGGAGAAGAAGACCAAAGAACACATTACACCAGGAAATGAAGATAGACATGAGAAAAATGAACAAGAATAGGATGGAACTAGAAAAGAAGGCACAGGACAGAGTGGATTGGAGTATGCTGGTCGGCGGCCTATGCTCCATTAGGAGTAACAGGCGTAAGTAAGTAAGTAATGTGTAGTCTAAGACACTGATAGAGTTGTGAATATATGAACGGTAACGAAGAACAAGAAGAAATATTAATAAGTTATTAACCAACAGAAATCTTTCAAAATAAACTAGAATATTACGTAATAGATTAGTTATTTAAGAATAAATATCTAATATCTAGCATTAAATGACTTGTGATCTCAACTATTAAATTACTATAATATCCACAAAACCCCTGACTGATTATAATCATCATATGCTCACTAGCGTCAGTCTCCAAGAGTTATTCCCTAAAGTTTTAGTGAGAAGCAAAAATCATTGAAGTTCAGCTGTATCTGTCGTGAGATTGTAACTCACTGAACACAATGTAGGATGTGCCGCTCAATGTCATGAATTAGTTGAAGTCAAATATTAACACTGTTGGATGCCGGCTCAGTGGTCTAGTGGTTAAAAATTTGCGCATGAGACAGATAGGTCCTGGGTTCGAGTCTTGCTAGGCGGAGTTGCGAATACGCACTGTTGAGGAGTCCCATAATGGGACGAAATGGTCGTCCACTTCTTCCAAGTTGTCCATGGTGGTCTAACTTCGATTGACTCATGAATTCAACTATTAAAATAAATATCTCCCTGAACGATTTATGTATTTTTGATGTAACAACATCGATCCACCATAACTTCAATTTAAGTGATTTATATAAGGATTAATCACTAATTTAGAAATGAACAATTCTAAAAATGAATATGCCCCCAAATGCCCTGGTACGGCCGAGAGTGGGGAGAGTCCGCTCTCCCTCTCGAAATGCTCTCACATGGCCACGCGTACATAGCCCCTGCCAGAGAAGTCCTACTCACTGCCTTCACGTGGCGGAGGTGTTGTTTACGAAAATGAGAGGACGAAAAGCGAATGTCCGGCGCTCTAACCGCACCCCAAACCAATGGTGCACATGGGCTGGCTCCAGTATCCTGCGGGAACAAATGGCGTATGAACCAATCGTTGGTCACCGGCTACCATGGGACTGCATCTCCCCACGATGCTCTACTGCCTTGTGGGTTAGACGTTCAGGTCAAAGGCTCGGGGTGTGGCCCCCTAAGAAAACCACCTGCTTCGGTTTGGGCACCCCAGCAGTATCACAGCCCTCACACAAATCAATTGAGATTCGTGTGGCGCATATGTACTTGGTGCCTCCTTGTACCAATACCTATGTGTTAAAATAAAATAAAATAATAAAAAAGATGAATATAAGGTGGAGGAATTGTATGAAATGAATTGATAATTGTCAGCCTGCTTAAATATCTGGGCTACATATCCTTACCATCTAGATATTTCAACAAGTTATCTGTTTTTGTGCGTTTATGAAGTGTTTACGACCTTTCGTTGTATAACATCAGAGACATAGTGGTTATTGACAACCAATATACAATGAAAAGAATGAAGATTATTCAGATGTCAATTCTTCGATTGATAACATCTAGATTTTCGATAGTACATATTCTGTTGTATAATAGACAAAACAGGAATCTCTTTGATCTAAAGCCACTAGCTTACACATACACCTATATGTTCTTATATTTTATCAAGTATTTTACGTGTGCTTTGGTCTACATTCAATTCAACAATATAAAAACAAATAATAGCGATCTTCATTAGCTACTTTATGATCTTTCACAAAACAAATCAATTTTTAATGGAAATTGTATTTAAACAAGCTATTTGATATTAAAGAAAACAGTTATTATATGTTACTTACCTGGTCTACCAGTTGAAGCATTTCTTGTACGTCCAAGTTCAACATGTTCTTTTGGTAATGCTCCAAGACCGGTAATTGGATCTCTTTGAATTGCTGTAATACAATTAATTAATATATTGATTTATTTGTGCATAGTTCTTATGATCAATATATATATATATCAAGGAATCTACTTGTGTTGAGTATACATGGGAATCTATTCACATCTTAGTATTAGAAAAATAGTTATTAGGCTTCCATTAAATTTCTAGCTCTATCTATGTTTATTAACCATCGTGGTAGAGCATCAGCTGCTCAATAGCATTCTCCACTTGCAACTCTTCTAGCGTTACTACCGGTTTCAAACTCGGGTAAGGGAGGATGGTTTGGCATGGGGTGGGAAAATCCATCTCGTAGAAATCAATCTTGCTGAAAAAACGCTAACCAGAATATTGAAATTACTAGCTACCGGGTGATCAATTGTTGTTTAAAATAATAACCACTAAGTTTGAGTCTCATTGTGATTATAAACACTATACTGTGAAGGTATTCTACTGACAATCTCTTAAGAGAACTGAGTACATATGCTGGATTCCACTGTCAGTTATAGTTCAAGAACTTTCAAATCAGAGATCAATAGATAGATATTTCCTTCTACTTTCAGACATCTCAGCAATTTACTCCGTGTATAGGCTTCAGAATGACCATGTCAACATTTAGGTTTGTAGTATATACCCATATTGACTGATATCGCTCTACAGACTACACCTTCTTAGATTAGCTTTGTAAAATCCATTATAGAGCTAAACAGAATTGCTTGAAATAATTTGTATGATTATGTATTTCAATTACACAATCAATTAAAATGAAGAACTTTTACACACATTCGCGAATTTTTATTCGCTACTGACTAATCGTAGTTGGGGTATCATTGAAACCGTAGTGTTGAACAACTACTTCATCTCAGTATATGACTCATTAACTTTGAAATGTTTTTAGAGTTCTACCGAAAAGTCATGACTGGCGTAGTTTATACATATTGGGAAGGAAATAGTTGTCACTAATGATGTTGAATGAATACTGTGAATCTTTTAAAGTTAAGAACTCATTCCACTAAATGTTTACCCGATAGCGTTCATGGTAAGTGACGAGTCTGTTAAATGAATGTTCAATCTGATTTCTGAGACGCTTTTAATAATTCCAGGCTAAATCTAAACGGAGAACTGAACACAAGAGAATTGGCTCAAAATAAAATATGAGCGCTTAACTCTACAGTTAGTATACTCATAGTTACACACGACATTGGGTTTCCAAAAGTTCAAAGAACCATACTAAACAAAATGGCTGTATACATAAATATCTAATCAGAAACATCACACGAGAGGTATCCATTCAACTTTGATTGGATAAGGTGTTTCCAAGCATTTTCTGTATCCCTATAGACATTTTCGATAAATACTTTGGAACTACCCAAAAGTAAAACGTTAACCATAACCACCTCATTGTTCACTTTCAAGATTGTACTTATAAACCATTGAAGATTCCTATCATACTTAAAAACAACTAACTGTCGAGTAGTTCTCAGTTTTCAACCAAACCACAATATTAACTGTTTGGAAATCTTTAAACCAATCAATGTTTATCAATACAAAGAACTATAAAAGGCAAAAAGGGTTGTGATTCAAATGCAATAATCTTTTTGATATACAATTAAAATTAATGATCTGAAACTAAAAACTATAACAATGGACAGTATATAAGGAATACAACGAAAGCATACTGAAATATACTGAACATTGAATACATGCAAAGTTAAAAACATTTCTCATGAACAGTTGATCAATATTTGTTATGGAACAAATGGAAATAATATCAGAAAAGGGGTTTTGTAGATATTATAGTAATTACAATAGTTGAGATCATGAGACAATTGAAGTTAGACCACCATGGAAAAACCTGGAAGCACTGGACGGTCATTTCTTCTTATTGTGGAACTTCTCAACAGTGAGCATCGACGATCCTATACGTGGGATCACTCGAACACAGGACCTATTGATCTAGTGAGCGAACGCTTAATCACTAGACCAATGAGCTGACATTCAATGGTGTTGATGTCTAACTTCAACTAATTCATGAAATTGAGTGACACATCCACTATTGTCATCAGTGAGTTACAATCTCACAACAGACTCGGTTGAACTCCACTGGTCAATTCTTCTCACTAGAACTCCAGGAAATACCTCTTGAAGCCAGTCACTAGTGAGCATATTCATAGGAAGAAACGGCCATCCAACGCTTTCAGGTTTTCCATGGTGGTCTAGCTTCAATTCACTCATGATCTCAACTATTAAATGGAAATGAGTTTAAATCATGCTGTTCACAGAAAATGGTTACATTATTTTTGTCCACTCTAGTGATAATTACTAGAGACGGTTGATGAATTGCAGTGGAATCCAGAACGCGCGTCTCGACCTATTTGGGATTCGTCAGCAGGATGTACCTGCATCCTAGAGTTGATGTTCACTTAAATACTCGAATTCACTTTTGTATGCTTTAAACGCTATCGCTTTTTCCACTTAGCTGTTGAGTCTAGATAGCCTCTGACGTGTGCGCTGCGGTAGATAATATTATGTCGTTTGAAGCGTTTGAGTCTAGTGGTGAACATCAACTCTGAAATATAGGTACATCCAACTAACGAGTCCCAAAATAGGACAGTACGCGCGTCACACAGTATTCCACTGCTATCTACCATCATCTCTTCTTATAACGCTTGTGACTTAAGGCAATATCAGGGCAATCCGAACAGCGTGAATATATGTCAATAAGAGACTGATCAATCGCAGTTCTATATATCAATAAGAACATTCATACAGTTAATGCAAAAACGGATCATTACCAAGGCTTTTTTATAAAACTAAAAATTGAACAGCGAGAAAATATGATTGTACAACCCAAGAATAAAGACAAAAACTTTTGTCGGATGGTAATTTTAATTACCATCCAGAAACATGGCAACTAATTATGAACCGAATACACCCATTACTGCTTAAATTTTAATGGGAATCAATAGCTAGCCAGAAAACATTATACATATTTTAATTATTAAGAAAATAAATGGATTTCGCACTGAATGTATACAACCATATATTATGCCGAGCAAATATCACACTAAATCAATACAAACGGTTATAATATTGAATAAATATTAGACGAGTGATATACTGAATAAACATTACAAGAATCATAAGCAGAGATGGATAGTGGCTAACAGTGGAATCCAGTACACACTTTTCATCCAATTTAGGACTCATCAATGGAATGTGTCTGCATTCAATATGATTTTCACTACAATCAGAGATTCGTCACAAAATATTAAGTCTCCTAATGACAGAACAAATTTTCAGTCAACCCAGCACTTCCATACTGCAACGGTCCGTTGCCGCATTTCACTCCGAAATGCTTTGATGAGGTTGAGGGTAGGTAAAGTCCGCTCTCTCTCTCTCTTTCTCTGGAAATGTTATCACATGGCCATGCGTATACAACCACCACCAGAGAAATCCTACTCACTGCGTTCTCGTGTTGAGAGTGTTGTTCATGGGATTGAGAGGATGAAAAGCGAATGTCCTGAGCTTCAATTGGGTTGATGGATATGGAGGACCCACTTTGAGGAGTTGGACAACTATCGTTTCAAACCAATGGTGTACATATGCTCCAGGATCCTTATAGAAAAAATGGCGTAATAACCTCTTCTCGTTTACCAACTACCATGGGGGTGTATTTTCTGTTTTTGTCTCATTGACTTGTGAATTAAACCTCTAAGTCATATGTTCGTGGACTGTATCCCTAAGAAAACCACGTGCTTCGGTTTTTCATGCCCGGACAGTTTCCCAACCCTCATACAAATCGAATAATATATGTAGCGCATATCTATTTCGTGCCTCTTTGTACCAATATTTATGTGTTTAAATAAATAAATAAATAAATACAATAGAATAGAATAGATAGAAGAAAAAATCGATAATCAACTTCCTAAATCGATAATATTCCTTCTCGAGTGCTTTTTTTCCTCAAAAAAAAAAATAATAATACCAGTCTGGAATAAATCGATACTGATTATTGATCGATGATAATCAAAATGTATTTTTATAAATTACAGTCCAATTGATTTTTAATATCTTACCGTTATATTTATGGGAAATCAAAGGATATAATAGAAAACTGGTGTATATAGATTCATATTGACTGATTATTGATTATTACTAGAATGGGTTTTGTGGAGAATTGGTAATTTCAATAGTTGAAATCATGAATCAATTGAAGCTAGACCACCATGGAAATCCTGGAAGCACTGGACGGCCGTTTCGTCCTAGTATGGGACTCCTCAGCAGTGCGCATCCACGCCGTGACCAGTGGAGTTCAACCAGGTCTGTTGTGAGATATCAGCTCACTGAAGACAATGGTGACGGTGGCGCAACTTCGTGGATTGGTTGAAGTTAGACATTAACACCGTTGGATGCCGGCTCAGTGGTCTAGTTGGTTAAGCGCCTGGCGCGATACTTATAGGTCCTGGGTTCGAATCCCGCGGGGGGCGAGATTGTGGATGCACATTGTTGAGGAGTCCCACGATAGGACGAAACGACTGTCCAGTGCTTCCAGGTTTTCCATGGTCGTCTAGCTTCAATTGGTTCGTGATTTCAACTATTGATTATTGATTGTCTAGTTCTTAATGATGATTAAAATTCTATTAATGAAGTTGTAATTTTATGGTGTATACTACTTATTTTGACACATTACGCCGAGAAATAGAGACAGACATGAGAAGAATGAACAATAATTGGAAAGAACTAGAAAGGAAAATCCAGAACTGAGTAGATTGGAGAATGCTGATCAGCAGCCTATACTCCATTGGGAGTAACAGGCGTAAGTCAGTAATTAAGTACTTATGTTGACAGACATAAGTAGTATGTAGCATCAGTCAGAAGTGAAACGTTTAGCAGCAAAAAGTTGGAGAGTTCAAATTGAAGAGAATAAGAACAGAGGGTAGCTGTAATAACAATGAAGGAATGATGAAGATCGAGACAACTGATGAAAGATTTTCATGAAAGAACACAGGA